ATAATTAAATCGATTCCTTTCATTTTAAAAAATTTGTTCCTGAAGAGATTAGAGAACTTGGAGATCATTTCTTAATCTCTCTAGAGACATTGGCACACGTTTAGATTTTAAAACATTAAACTTATTCTAAGTGAAAAACCAGATTATTTGTAATAAAAAAAATAATTAAATCGATTTTCTTCACTTAAAAAGTTCGTCCCTGAGGAGATTAAAAGAACTTGAAGAAATGGCTAAGAAATTGTTATTAGAAATACTTAAAAGATTTTATAAGGCACAAGCGTGAACACAGCGTGAGAGAACTGTCGGCTATAAAATCACCCGTGAATGAAGAGGATCGTGCAGAATGTCAAACGCGTTCAGGGAACGCGCACGAACTGAACTGAACTGAGCTGATCGAGTTTTAAAGAAGCTGGCCGTCTCAACTCGATAATAAAACGGTAACTGTAAAAGCGAGCCGTAAAGGCTAAAGGGTGATTAGGAAGGTAAGTAAAACGCGTGATGAAATTTCAAAGGAGGAACGAGAGCGAGACGATCGAGAGGAGGGTATGGTAAATTAGACTCACGCGAGGCTGCCTGGATCGTTATCTTGCCCTCTTTGAGGCTGCACGAGGTACCGTTACCCTTGCAGACGCCGCACACATCTTCGACGGCGTTCGACTCCATGTTCAGGTCGCAGGGGATCTCTCGGCAGACGCCGTCGACGCAGACATCGCGGATGCCCCTGTAGCAAGTAGTACCGTCGACGACTCTTGCTCTCAGGGAAGCTACCACGTTTGTCTCGCTTAAACAGTACAGGCCGCATGGGTCTTCCGATGCCTTTAGATCTGTTGATCCGATTTACTTGTTCTCAACAAATTTTTACTGCTCCGACATTGTATTATAAAGATACTATGGACTTTTATGCGGAATATAACATTTGTCATACACGTTAAAATATGATGAAAATTCTTTTTTCATTTATAATATATTGCAATATACATTCAGCTTTTGATATTCTGGATATTCTTATATCCTTCCGGGAGCTAGCGACAGAAATTTCGGGAATATTTTTGCAAGCTATAGTAATATGATTGTCTTCCAACGCACCCGCAGGACAGGGGATTACAGAAGGGTTACAATTACAGTAAACCATTGACGAAAAAAATTTATAGACGCAAGGGTGAAATTGATTATAGTGCTCTTTTTTATAGTAATAAATACAAAAATAATAGTCTTCCACCTACAAGATATAACAAATCGTCTTCGAAGCCTATGAAGTTGTGCTTAAGTATTGAGTTTCTGATATTTCAATCAAATTTACTAATTCAAAGATGATTTGAAATTGTTTTGTTGCAATTTCGGATATGCAATGAGTAAGAGGCAAAATTATGGTAAAACTATAGCGATTTCGCCGTTTGATGGGTAGTTACCTTCGGGCAGCTTGTAAGCGATCCATCGGTGAACTTTCCCGTCTTCCGGGAAAATCCAGTTGTTGAACTCGCTGCACTGAACGTCACGGAAAGACGGTGCATCCACGTCGCATGGCTGGTTAAAAATTCTTTGATATTCATTACTGATACGAATATGTATAATATGTACATATCCAGTCACCTTGGTGGCGCATATTCTGTGACGTTTCCTCGCGCCACGACAGTAAGCCCCGCCATTGGACGGCGGTGGAGCGGAGCACTGCCTGAGTGAAAAAGCCACGCCGGAACCGCAACTTCGTGAGCATCGACTCCAAGGTGACCAGCTGCTCCAACTACCGTCCACGACTCCTGGTCGCTCGCCGGCCAGCAGACACTTCATCCCGTAACACCACTGTAAAGTTGATTATCGATCAATCAGGCTCGGCATATTAATCACATCATGTGCCATTTCAGCATACCACTTCACTGATATCATCTCCATGTACAAAATTCAATTCGAAAATTACCATCCTTTGGAATATTGTATAATATTCAAACTAGTTATTAATAAAATTTAACTATTTATTATCAATTTACATAATTTTTATTTTATGCATTAACTAGGAAATTGAGTCTTCTGATATTAAACACAGAATTAAGTTACTTGACCTAATATTAAGAATGTTATTCCGTTTTGAAGTCAGTCTAAATTAATGGTTACTTTTGACTGAATATAATTTATAGAACTGTTTATTATTAATTTATATTATATAATTTTCACGTTACACATTATATAGGAAACTAAGTCTTCTGACATTAAACAAGAAATTAAGTTCATTCGCCTAACATTAAAATAGTTATTCCACTTTGTAGTCTGTCTAAATTAATGATTACTCTTAACTGTACATGGAATAGTTCATCAGAGCGAACATAACATACAAGTTGACCGAACTACATCTGCATCGCATCAGTAGGATCTGTCATCCTGCATGATCTCGGATACATTGCAAAGATATAAATTTGCATCTTTATTGATTCTAGCAATCGAAGTGACTCCTCGTACAAGCCATAAGATTATGCATCAACAAAATATCCCGAATACGTTAATCTACTTGTTACTTGAAAGCTGTTGCACATTAATTTACATTAATAACGTTACAAAAGTTGCGTTCAGCTTCGCACGGTGCAAAGCGAACAACAGAAGAGACGTCAAATGGAATTATAAAATGACTAGATATACCGTCGAGATTAAAACGCGAGATACGCGAAGAGAGACAGTGGTAGCGAACGCGCAATATTTTCGTCCGATACAATGCCCGGTTTAACTCATTGTTAACTCGGGGCGAGAGCTGAGTTATTACTTGTTGCTAGATCGATGCGAGCTGAATAACTGCCGGCGTGTTCGTCGTGCCCGATTACATTTGTAAAGCGCGCGTGGTAAAAGTCGGGCGAAAAAACACGTACGTTTCTTCGCACGCGCCGCCGCGGCACAATGTCTTAATCGCGCGCCGCATTGAAATTCAAACGAACCGTGAGCGAAACAAAGAGAGAGATTTCTATCCGCGAGACCGCCCCCGGATCCTATTAGACCAGTTCCCCTCTCGAAAAAAAGTCCCGCGGTGAAACGGCCCCGTTGACGTACTAAATACAGAGATTATCGCGTATCTAAACAATACCGGCGCCGCGGCGACGTAGGAGCGCAGGTATGCTCGTGCAATCCTCCAGCGGCGTCCGGCCACGGTGCGCCGCGAATAAAAGCTTCGACCCCCCCTCGCGGATCATTAACCCCTTTACGCTGGTTGGCTGTTACTCAAAAAACCATCAACCTATTCAGATATGTAAATGCGAACGCGTGCGCCGCAAAGAACTCGATGATTAAGTACGATACGTCTTGTGTGTAATTAGCGGATTATTTATAGAAACGAGAAATTCGAATTTAAATTCGCCGGAGTATTTGAAAGAATGAGAGACTCTCACGATGAAACTTCTCTTTTCTGGTAAATTTCGGTTAAAATAGATAAATATGATGCTGTTAATTTATAACCAGGGGTGGCGAGCTTCTTTTTCTCTATAGCTTTTAACTCCTACTTTCTAATTGACAACAGCCATTTGCCCGAACGAAGAATTGTATGCATGGTAGGTAATGCATTCCGGAATTTTTTTCTGAATTTTTCATTAACTGCAACTCGCAAAATGAAATTGTTAATTTCATATCAAATTAAAGTGGAAACGTTAAAATTGATATTTGTCTTCTGCGAATTTTCTCCTATTTCAATTTGCAATATAAAAAGTTCAAAAAAATCCCACATTACTTATACATATAGTAGTACATCTAAAAATTTTAATTAAGAGAAAATATCCCAAGAATATCCAAAATCGTGCTCTAACGAATTTTAGCAAATATTATGAATTTCTGAATTCTCTCGTAAGACTGCGTTTATATTGTAAAAATAAGAATGAAGAAAAAACGAGAAAGAAAGAGCCAGATGTACGGTAGTAGAATTGTCTTCTGGCACTAAGAAAAGTAATGAGGGTCATCCAACATAGAACGAGAGTCGGGCAAATGGCCCACGGGCCACAATCTCGCCATTCCTGATCTATCTGAAGATAAAAGTTTTAATTCACATTTTTGTAAGTTTCAGACCTATAAAAATGTCTCCTTTGCATTCATAAAAGTTCATCAATCAAGCATAATTAATAATACATTTAGAAAATAGTAACCCATTTTAGGAAACTCATTAATTGGTGATTTAATTAACCAAGCGAAATGAGACGATCGTGATGTTTAATTTTTACCCTGTTTTCGTCGCAACGCGTGCCCTCGGCCGGTGGTTTCTCCGCAGACACGCAACCCTTTCCGGGAATAGTGCACCTGAGGGTCTTGCAGCTCTGAAAACGAAACGGGATCGTGTTTGGCCGTGATTGCGACGGAGGTGTTAAAGTGGAGTAGAGGGTGGTGTTTCGTGTCGATCGCGATATCGCGTAACGATAGTCCGGCTCCAGGTTCCAGAGCTTCGGGTGTCGCTTATCTAAACGACGCGCAGCGACGCGCGATGGAACGCGTATGCACGTATATATGTATGCATGTACGATTCTATGTACATACACCGTACATACATTTTCGCAAAAGGATAAGGCAGTCTGGTAAGCGCACGACGAAAGCTTGGTCTGACTAGCTGCAGATGGTGCCTCTTTACAGTTTACTCTACTATCGATACCTGGCTTATCGCATCGATACATTCATCGTGAACGTTTCGAATCGTAAAGCCCTCTGAATGTTTCTCTGACTTTAGTCAGATCGGAAAATCCGATACAACCCAATTTATGTAGAAACGATCAGGAGGAATTCGATAATCTGACTAAATGAAATTTCCAAGCAAGGCTAAATAGCTTAATCAAGCTGCAGCGTATAATTAAGAAATCACTTACACAGTACTTTGAATAAAAATATCATTTCCTATAATTATAATATCGTACAGATAAATCTTGAGATAGAGTTAAAGAATATAATACATTAAGAAAGAATAATGATGACTAAATTAAATCTCCAAGCATGGCTACATTAGCTGTATGGTTTAATCAAGTTGCAACGTATAATTAAAAAATCATTTACATAGTACTTTGAATAAAAATTTCATGCTATTAATATTATAGAGACAAATTGAGAAACTGGATCTGGAGGAAGCATTCGTTGATTAGAGACTTTATGAAATCTCTAAGCAAGACTGTATATTTTAATCTTACAAAGCATAATTAAAAAGTCACTTACATAGTACTTTGAAGAAAAATAAGATATCCCGCAATCAATGTCACACAGACGAACTGAGAAACTGGAGCCCAAGAACGATTTATAGAATTAAAGAATATAGTAAATGGATAGAAAAACGTTGTTTGCCTGGAAGGGAAACGACGCGACATGTTGAACTGCAAACATCAAATACCGGGGCTCGCCGGTGGCTAACACGTTTATTACCCGCGGAAACAATGTCGCGTTCGGTAAATAAACTCATCCCATTGTAAATTTTCGACAAATTCGTTAACATGTACATAGTCGCATTTAATCATAGAATTACAATCGTCATCAACGATTTCGAATGACGAAATATTGAAGTTCTCGGATCGGTCAACGATCTCTCGGCGAACGCAATCGCGTACTTGTCGAATCAATCGACCTCGTAAAGCAAACATGACGGTCAAAGCTGACGGAAATATTGATTTTTCCTCAAACAGAGAGAGAGAGAGAGAGAGAGAGAGGGAGAGAGAACGTGTTAAAAACGATTGCTCGACTCGTGTTTACGTGCGTGGAGTAAACTATGAAATCAATAAATGGTTCCCAATCTACAGGATACTGTTCATGTTTGTTAATATAACCGAACATGGATGGACTCCTTATGAGAAGATATAAGATAATAATTTTTTATTTGAAACGTACAGAAAATGAACTTTCCAATGTTGAGCACGTATACATATTTGCTTGTGCCACTAAAACGAATTGTTCTTATTGTGATTTTTTCACTTGTTCTGTTGTACATTCTGCATATTAGGTTTACAATGCAGGGTTTCCAGAAAGTGTTAGACCTTCCATTATTATTTCTGGATTAGATTACATTTTTTCAGAAGATTCTCAAATACAAAAGTTATTTTATAAAATAAGAATTTACTGGTAGGGTTGATTCTGACCTTACGATCAAGCTTAGAGATCTTGGAAAGATCAACTCTGATATTTTTAATGGAAATTCTTATTTTCGTTTCAAGAAACAGAAAGAGCGAAATATTTCATTTATGTACCCACTCGATGTATCGAAATCATTCCTAGGGGTTATTTGTTCAATGAATTATCGTATAACCAAGGCGTGTGATTCAGCTAGCTAAAAGGACTCCAGGGACTGACAGCTAAGTGATGATTTCTGATGAGCTGTGAAGAAGTGCTCCTAAACGGGAAATAAGAATAAAGCGAAACTATAAATTATACTGCAATTTGACGTCAGGATTCGATCATTATGCAAAATGGAATAAATATATATATGTGTAGTATAAATATTTGTATATGTAATATGTGTAGTTGAGCTTTTTAATACGAAATTAGTTCCATGCATAGAATGTGTGGCCTGTCGTTAATAGAAGCGTTGGGAACGTTTTACCCGACAGGAGCATGTTTTAATTTTCGTCGGGAAAAATAGTTTCCACAAGGACAGGTACTTCCCTCGTACGCTACGAAATATGTATGACGGGAATAAGTATAAAGGATGTGGGGCCCGGCGCATGATATTACCAGAGAAATAAGGCTGAGAAAGTGGTTAAGGTAACGTAATATTGCTTTGAAAAGAAGAACTCGCGTCTAAAATGCGTATCATAAAAATAATAAATAAACTCGATTCCGTATGTGATATAATTTTGGTATGCTCTTACGATTCCTACGTCGCAGTGGCGAGCATCGGGAGTGTACAATATGTGGCATTGATCATCCGCGTTGTACATCACACCTGGAAGAATATCCGTAGATGGTAGTTCAAGATTTTGAGGTGAATCCTCCAAGCAAAATCCTAGACCTTTTCTGCAAAGACAATCTTATCTGAGGCTTGATTCGAGATCATTTATATATCACTTTCTATTATTTAGTAAATAAAGTATAGCGCATTTGCACCAAGTAAAATAGATAATTCCATGTTAATTAGAAGAGTTAGATAATTTCATGATAATTAGAGAGAAGTTAGATAATTTCACGTTCAATTATTTAGTGGGTAAAATATAGTTCATTTGCATTTATATCAAATAGAATGGACGAAGTTAGATAATTTCATGAAAATTTTACAAACCAGATGGACGGGAATATACGCGTTGTTAGTTCTGGGACTTTTGGAAGGAGTCCAACGTTTTATCATAGAATTTCAAAGCATTTTCCGGTCAAGAAAGTTTGCCCGGTCGCGGCGCATTAAAATGAATGAAAGGAAAAGCAATCCCGAGACTATCTGATATAGCTTTTCTTATTTACTCGATATACGATCTCAGCGAATCTCTCGAACACTCGGACCATCTTCTCGTGACGTACAAGCTGCCGGGGTACATCACAGTCGTTTCGACGAAGTCCTTTCCAGTACGAATTATGCCTGGGCAACCATTTTCCTTCTTCACGTCGTGCGACATGCCCAGTCTTTAGAAGAAGATATAACATTTTTATTCTGCTCAGATGAAATTGAAGTGCAAAATTGTTTAAAATATACTCGTTATTTCTTTACGGACGATAAAAATTCTAACAAATTAACATATCCGGATTAAAGCGTACATTCCATTGAAACAAATCGCGTATTATGCTAATAAAATGTTGCAGTGTAAATTTATTTTATTTCGTTTGGAAGTAGGGAATCTGGGACGCGTCGTTCCCTGATGACCACGGGGAACAGAAAGTACTACGGGAAGAAGAATGGAACTCGTACGTGTGACCGATGTGGTGGGCCATGTGGTATCCCGTGAGCAGACCAACGTCGTTTACAATGACGGCTCCTTTCAAAGGGTTGCAGGTCCCAGCGATCGTCGAGGTGCCAGTGAAACCGCAGACGCTCTCTGAATCACAGATGTTACTCCTGGCCAAACGGATGACTGTTCAGTCCTGGCCGAGGTTAAGTGGGATTCGCGTAACATTAATTCGAATGCAAGCTACTTTGTAACTAGAATTGCACAGTCGTGGTGATTCGGGTGGGAATCGTCCCCGGGATTGATCATCCTCTGCCACTCTTGGAAGTACTTCAGGGTGGCGTTCGGATCTTTCGTTCTCGCTAGGCTCATCTGTTTCGACGTTCGATCATATGCAGATGTGTGCAAAGTGAAATTTGTAATCGATATACCTCGTCCTCCTGCGCTCGCATTTTTATAATCCTAACGACGCTCAGTTCCATGGGTATTCCTAGACTGTCGTCGTGCAGCAATCCCGCAACCTAATTAAACGTTAACTGTTGAAATTATAAGAAAAATTTATGCAAGAAGGAGATTTATTATGATTACTTCTTTTTTATCAATTAAACATTTAGACATTAAGGAAGGAACCGTATAATCTCTGATTTTGTTATACAGCTACTCGCGTTAAAAGTGTTTTAATTGGAAGACGATAAAATAATTATTAAATTTTTATTATGTTCTCCTCATTTTAACTTTTACTATATCTAATTTCCAAATATTTCACAAGTTATATTTATGTCTGTATGTTGCTTATTATCTTTTTTAAACTCTTACTATTATTGATGAATAATGTACTTAATATAATTATTTATTATTATTCAAAATTCTAGAATCCTGAATTTACTTTTTCTTCAATTCTTTTTTCAATCAAACGTAACTCCATTTCATTAAATCTATGAAAACGCACGTTAATTCCAACATGATATAACTCTAAAACGAGCTTCTCAATTTCATTCAAATTTCGCATGCGTGTGGGATGTGGTAATAACTATTTATTAACAAAATTGCAAACTTGTGTCATTACCCTAGATTACAGCCTGAACAGTAAAAGCGGATTACACGTCAACGTGTGCAGCAAATTGCAAATACTTTCGGAGACTAATTAGAAGGATGGTCGCAGGTGGAGTGTGACAAAAAAAAATGGAGAGAAAGGAGAAGGTGGGTACCATGTTGAGCAGCGTCAGCGCGTAATTCTCCAGGTCGAAATCTTGGCGATAATCGAGGACCGTCTTGTCGAGTACCAGCAGCAGTTCCATCGTGTAAGATTTGGCCTGGTTCTTCTTACTCTTGTTAGACGACGTCGTCGACGACGGTTGGCTTTTCTGCGAACTGAAAGCGCGCTTGGCAATGGTTTTGGCCATATCGGCGGTGACGTTACACAGAATCTCGGCGTTCCTTCCGAATTCGTCCGGTCTCTTTTTGTAGACGACATGCGGGTGCTCCGTTTCTTTGGTAAAGTCGTGACCCGGCACAGGCTCGATCGTGTACCACGATCGTTTCGTTCTAATATATCCGGCCTGGAGATCAGAACACCGAGATTCCTTCCAGTCAGATTTATCTTACGCCACGACCTGCGGCCACGATATTTGTCCGAGTCGTTTGAAAGCCTTGTCCCTATTCCTAGTCTTATTTTCATGCCTAGTCTCGTCCAACACAGTCGCCAGATTCAGCATGAAATTCACTCACATATGTATATGTATTTCCGAATTGGGTTATTTTGAATTATTCATAAATTATTTAATAATTTAAATCAAGTATGGCAACTCCAAGGATGAATCGTATATCCTTAGGTTTCAAACGACTAATTATGACACGAGGAATAATAATTGAGTACTAACGAGGCCGTAACAAGTGGACAAAGCACTGTTCCCCGATTGGCCATGAACGCGACCTTGGTAGTGGCACTGGCTGTCTCGCACCGGTTGCAATTTCATGCTCTTCAAAAAATCACTGTTATCACCGGTCTTCGCAGCCCTCGGTGTCCTGTGCTCTTCAATCACGGCACCTGAACCGAATCGAATTATACGCATACATATTTTACTGAAACTGATCAATATGTTAATTCATAGCCATCTGCTATCGTCTGTTCAAAATATTCATCCCTCAGGGCAATTATAAACGAGACTCCGGCGTGCTCTAATATTGCCTGATTTAAAATTCAAATTTAGTATTATTTTATTAGGTTTAATGAATCGAGTTCAATAACGAAATGGGTCCGAGGAATTTAAATTTTGATGGTAGGTACGTATTCCATTTTCTAGATATTTAATATTGCTTTCTTTATTGCGTTTCAAATACGACGATGAGTATACTATAGGGTCTTCCAAAAAGAGTGCTAGATCGCTCAATTGTTACACTTGCCATGTTTGTTATTCAATTGTCGGAGTCACATGATATTTGTGCCAGAGATATGGAGGCAGAGTGAGAGCGTACATACATTTTGATCAACACAAATGGGTTCGGCTTAAAACGGGCTTATAGGCAATCTCCCTCCTGATCTCTGGTAGTGCTTGGCAAGTCAATGCTCAGTTGCTCAACGTCTTGAAATTATTAAAATTTATTATTAAATTCAACAATAGGTTTATATCGAGAAATACGTCTATCAGTTGGCCATATAGACCTAATGGTCACCAAAATCTTACAACTTGAAGTCATCAGACTTTTCCTTGTAAAACTGATATTAAAGCAAACAATTTGTGCTATCGGTGAGATACGACCTGACTTATGTGCCAGAGTCATCGAAAATTGAGTTTGTCATATTCAATCCATCAAACAGAACGATGGTGGTCATTTATATGATATTGTATGACACCATCGAATGCATTTTAAAATAAAATAGTAAATACTACATGACCTTCTCTATTTTTCTCTTTATTTAAATCCAAAGTTCTGTCGCTCTTATTGAAAACTCCTACCTATGGTTTGGTACTTTCTACTCGCCTGGTGCAACGAGACGCGAATTCGGTCGGAGCTCGAGATGATGTTCCTCTTGGTCGATTTGCACACGGTAGTGAAGAGCGTCGTCGTCGTCGTCGCTGGGAATCGTATCCGCGGACGACCGACGACGGGCGTAGAAGGAACGCTTGAAGTGATGAGGTATTTGATGTGACATGAACTTTCCATCGGAACCGACTTTCCTGGGCACCACGATCTCGTATCCGGCGCGCGTGTTACGCCCTTGAAAAATGAATCGCTGTTATCGGGTTGTCATTCTCTTTTCATTCCACCCTCCTCTGTCTCCTCTCTCGTTCTCGATCGCACCGCGAGTCGAGAGTCGCGTCCCTTGGTGAACATCTTCCGTTCGGCTCGAATTCAATCAATTATTCTATGGAGAATACCAATTTTCGAGCGGAGCTGCACGGCGGAGCCAGAGGCGGAATGAATCAACGGAGCCTCAACGTTTCCCCGCGGGAAACGTATAAGGAACTAAGGACGTGTCTATTCCTACCAATCCGTTCCCGGATTTGTTGACTTCGCGGAATTCAGTATTTTTTCTCATACGTTATCACATGAGGAAGGTGAATTGATTTCGTATAACATATTCAGAAAAATTTGCATTCAATATTTAAATATGGATTTAAAATGGGTGGACATCGTAACTACATAAAAATGCGTTTACATAAGTAATTCACCTTTTTCACTTCTTAAGTAATAAGATAAAAATTCAGGGAATGATACCCATCACGATTACACTGTCAATTTTTATGTAAAATGAGATATTCATCAGTCCAAAAAATGAATTTTGGGTGAACATTTATTTCATCAGTTAAATATTGCAATACGCACTCGTCTTTTAATATTGTATATACATATATAAGGAAAATCCTTTATGTCATTTGCAGCCACAATTTTTCTATAAGTACATAAAATCGAGATCTGACCTGATGTCTTATATGGTAATTTCTACGTTGTAAGATGGGAATGTGAGTACATTAGCTGGAAGACCGGCTCGTGGAAAAGTAGACTTTCTTTCGTGAAATGTTGGCGACCACACGGGACGATCGTTCAGCGATAATGCGATAGTTTACTCCGTCGATTCTCTCCGCTCTCCTTGAAACTGCTTGAGAAGTTCTTGAACGAAGCCGCTCGAAACTACTCCAACTCTTCGAAGTTAGTGCACCGAGGGAACTGCTTCTTGGCTCGGATCCGAATACATTTTTCGACGCGCGAACATGCTCGATAACGTATCGAGTGTCTCAAAGCATATGCTTCGACTCACCTCCTCGATTGGAGGTGTTTAAGTACGTTACTAAGGGCTCATCATCAGCGATATGCAATGTTTAAATGAGGAAAGAAATGTTTATCCAAAATGCATTCTTTTGGCTAATGCAATGAACATTTTATTTTACATAAAAATTGAGAGTCTAGTTGTGATGAGTATTTTGTTCTGAATTTTTATTTTATTAGTAAATGATTGGGAGATACTATGATTTTCACGTGTCATGGTTTTCTATTTTCCAAATCAGATTCAATCTGACTAAGTAAATGTATTTATATAAGGGCGAAAAGTTGACTTTTTTTAGATTCCTATTTTTGGTCGATTTGGAGAATAACATTGACGCTTTATCACACAAATACGGATTCTAGCTTCTTAAATAAAATCATTCTTCTAAACTCGGCATTTAATTTTCTTTCAATTAGAGTTCCCTATACAATCAAACTTTGATTACTCAATTAAGTGTAGCATACACGGCGCTATTTGAATAACCGAATAATTGTGTTATACCTGAATTTCGCATGCAAGCCTGGTTCGCGTATACGCGGCGTGTTCCATCAATCCCTTTAAATTCTCGTGTGTGAAACGTTTCGCGTTGATGAATAGTAATTAAAAAATGTCAGTGTATATGTAACCAAAAAATACCGTGGATCGGGCTTTTCGGAATCGATGGGAGTGTACGTTACCTGCATCGCGGAACGCCTCGCAGTGAAACGCAACGAGCAACTGGAGACAGATCAACGGGAGAATCGGAGAACACTTGGTCATCCTGTCTTTGCTCAGGGACGATTTCTCCGCGACGCGACTAAAAGTGATAACTCGAGGAATGAAACGAGAAGATAACTTCATGCGAAAACCAGTCAGGTTTAGTTAGCTAGCAATTTATTGAAAAGAGAGTGCGATGCAATTTCAAAGCACAGATGAGGAGGGAGATAGCTCATGAGCCATTATTTTATCCATATTTTTGACTATCAAAGTAGTTATGTTGTACAGCTTGGGACAATGATTCCTGGGCAAGAGATATTTTATTGCGTATAGGGAATGGGTATCTCATACTTGCCCAGTCTTTTACTTTATATGAAAAGATTAATAGTTACATGCAGAAAATTCTTGTCTATTTATAGTTGCTAGTAAAAGTCTCATTGATTTTGTACGAAATCGAGTGAACGTAGACTGTGAAACCAGATTTATACCTGCGCCATGAAAAGTAAAGAAACAGGGGTTCAGAGTAAAATTGAGGAGAGAAACGAGGGAGTGTGTTCTTCTCGATATTTAATTTAATTTTCCGGTCACGACTTTAGCGGGTGTACAACACGAATATACAGGGAAGGAAAAAGTTGACCCATTGAGCAGTTACAGTAAAAGGCACTTGGTCGCCCTCCTAGGTGACTTACAATGGCCGTTTGATGCAATCTCCTTCTCGTAAAGTTCAGATTAAAGCGGTAAAAAGTTTTATACTGTCTTTCTTCCTTCTCCTGTCTTCCTCTGTGGGTCTCTCTCCCTCTTCACTATAGCCAGAAGCTTCAGTCGCTCGAAGCAGTTCTTCTTCAACAACTGACTCCGGTTTCTTCCTTTCCTTCCTTCTTCTCCGCTATTCGCGGTCGTTTCTTTTATTGTACATTTCTTTCTTTCTTTCTTCCCCTCAGTCCTCACTGTTTCTAAATTACTGCCAGCCTTAAAAACCAAATTTTCTTCCGAATAATTTCGTCCGACTTGCACTGCGTCCTCATTCGGTAAAAAATATTTTATTCAATCGTATTTGCAACAGTCGCTGTTATTCGAACGACTGTATGCGAACGAACAATCGACTGATCAAACTGTTTTTCTCTTTGAAAATATACACACGTAATAGACATCGAGACAAAGTTGGTTATTGATGACGACAGAACGAAGTCGAACTGTCGTCACAGTTGTTTTTAAAAGAAAGGTGTTTTGATTCTGGGCACAAGTCAAATCATTTGCAAAATAAAACGAACATATCGCTATTGCTCACCCTTTCGCCGACAACGAGGGGAAAAGGACCTATACCGTAAAAGGCAAAAAGTTGATTGCGGCAAACTCCGGCCGGCATCGCTCCTTTTGACAGTGAACAAAGGAGCGGAAACAAAAATTCGTGCACAGCTTGGAGGGCTTCCCGTTTACGTCTCTATTGGATGCGTTTTAATTTGAAGCAGTCTCTTCGCATCTAAAAGTGTTTTCAGCCCGTCCCACGAATCGAAACGCAATGATGCGCTATCAGTCGTTCTGTTCTATAGTGCGGGTGCAACGAAATAAAATTTTTGAACGAGATAAAGCAAAGAATGTGTACGAAATTTAGTTCACATACCATCCATTTCTTTCTAC